TGTTGCATCGGCTCTGTCTTTGGATTCAAAAAACCTGTATGTGCTATCAATTTCCAAATTCAATTGACGCAACAATGTAAACTAATATCCCTTTACGGTATTCTTATGTTTAGAGGATCGAACGTCCAGTTCGTACAAATCAGATTCCTCGTCAAATTCCTGATCAAGTTTTTTATCTACGACCAATTCCTTCGATGCTTATGGGTGGTGTACTCCCCTTCGGTGCCATTTTCATTGAACTATATTTTATAATGAACAGTATTTGGGGTAATAAAGTATATTACCTGTTCGGTTTTGCTGCCATGGTGTTTGTGATTCTTACGATCACGTGTTCAGAGGTCACAATCCTCTTGTGTTATTTCCATCTTTGTGCGGAGGTGAGCGTTAGATCTTAAGCCACACATCAATGTTTTCTTTAATTGGTTAGTTCTATTCTTTAATTTGTGATAACCAATCTTGCCTTTCCCAAGGATTATCATTGGTCATGGAGAGCATTTTTGACGTCTGGAGCGTCTGGATTATACATCTTCATCTATTCCATCATGTATTTTGTGACAAGGTTACAGCTTACTTCGTTAACCAGCGCAGTGGTTTACTTTGGATGGACGGGTGTCATGAGTCTGATGTTTTTCGTACTAACAGGTATGTCTCTTATTGGTGTATTTTTTTTTTTTTTTTCAAATTTCAAGATTAACCGGTCATATACCATAAACAAACATTTTTTTTTTATCAGGAACAATCGGTTATTTTGCATGTCTCGTCTTCATCCGTAAAATATTTATGAGCATTAAAGTGGACTAATTAGGCTACATCTTTTGTTTTATTATTGTTAAATAAATGTTAGGGACTTATTTGTATTTTTTTTTTTTTATTTCTAAAGTTTCTCAAGTTTTTTCGATGGGATTTTTTAGATTATTATTTTGTTTTTCTCTTAATAGGAATTCTAATAAAAAAATAAACTTAATAAAAGATAAGATTTAAAACTGAGATTCACAAAGTGTGTCACAAAGTTGTTACGTCCGAATTTGGCTTCTTTATTTATTACGCTGAACACCGAGAGATTAGGTTGTATTCCATAGTTGGTTAATCTTTTTATGGTTCAGCGTTCTACACACCCCAGTTAAACTGATGATACCCTGGTACAGGAGATAAACATCTCATCATTAACTTGTATCAGTTCGCATTTAGGGATATTTAGGATTGTGAATTCGTGTAACATCAGATTATCTTTACGGCGACATCATGTACTACCGCAATTTCGTAAATCTGTCGTAATTAAATGGTTGCACCGCAAACACATTTTTGATCTATCATCTATCTTTCTGTCTGGAAAACTTTTATCTCCGATATTTACTTTCAAGATATAAAGAGAAGTGCTTTTTCCTTTTTTTTCCTCGTTTCCAAAACATCTCATGAAACCATATAGCGATACTACTGCATCCGATTATATTGCACACCAAGGCAAGTAGATTTTGAATAATAATCTTTACTCATTTCTAGATATTAACATGTCACCGTTTTCAATAGTCTGGAAATCCTCTCCGTCCACCTAATAAACTTTTTAAAAGCCAATAATTATTCATTGCCTGCCTGCCTTGTAAATATTGCATTAAAAAAAAACAAAAACATATTATATTTTTTCTTCCTCTTTGTTCAATCATGCCATTCGTGACAACACCCGCTGTCTTTGGTCGCAACCTATTCTTGGCTGCGGCTAATGCTATTAAACCTATTAAACCTTTTACCGTAATACGTGGTTTGGCCACTGTTACCGATCAATCCTTCGCCAATGCAAAGCCTCCGCTGGGACCATATGCCAACATCGTTTCTTCCAAACCTGTTCCTGCAGCTATCCAATTTAAAACCGGTCAAGTTTTTCATGGAACTTCATTTGGCTCTCAAAGATCTGTCTCAGGGGAAGCCGTTTTCACAACTTCGCTTGTGGGCTATCCTGAATCCATGACCGACCCTTCTTACCGAGGCCAAATTTTGGTTTTCACTCAGCCTCTCATTGGTATGGATCTGATTTGTTAATTTGATTTAGTTGGCATTTTAGTACCGTTTTTCATCGGTGTATAATTACTGTATAACTATAGGTAATTATGGTGTACCGGGTCTCTTCCGGGACCAGTACGGCCTCTCCAAATATTTTGAATCTGACCGCATCCAGTGTGAAGGAATCGTTGTGAACGACTACGCCACCCGTTACTCTCACTGGACCGCCGTTGAATCCCTTGGAGAATGGTGCGCTCGACACGGTGTTCCGATTATATCAGGAGTGGATACTCGTGCGATCGTTCATTTATTAAGAGACCAAGGTTCAACCCTCGCGAAGTTGGTAACTGGCGGTGAAGCTGAGAACGAAGACTTCTCGAACATCCATTTTTCCGATCCCAACGAGAGAAACTTGATCGCAGAAGTAAGCACCGAGGTTCCGGTCTCCTATAATCCATATGGAGATGTCAATATTGCTGTCATCGACTGCGGGGTCAAGTACAATATCTTACGTTCACTCGTTAATCGTGGCGCGGCCGCCACGGTTCTTCCTTGGGACTTTGATTTTAATGAGATCGCTGATCAGTTTGACGGCATCTTCATCTCAAACGGGCCTGGTAATCCAAAAAAGGCTGTTGAGACCGTTAAAAATTTGCGTAAAGCCATACAGACCTATGATAAGCCAATATTTGGTATTTGCATGGGGAACCTTATCCTGGGTCTGGCCGCAGGCCTGGACGTGTATAAGCTCCGATTTGGTAATCGGGGCCACAACGTTCCCGCTCTTAATATGGTAACGGGTAAATGTGCCATCACCTCTCAGAATCATGGTTACGCACTCGCGGATGATGTCATGCCCCAGGGTTGGGAGAAATTCTTTGTCAACGCGAATGAC